GGCCAGGCAGAGCCCACCTCCGCCTCCCGCGGGGCCGCACAGGAAGTAGGAGGGCGGGGACAGGGAAGGACCGAGAGGCCGGACGGAGGGGCTGGGAACGGCCACCCGGCCAGGGCGCGGAGCCTGCAGGCTGCCCCGGCCCCACCGCTGCCGCCCGCGCTCGTCGCTTCGTCCTCCGCCCTGTGGCGCAGGTAAGCCCGGGGGACAGGTGAGGTGAGCCAGGCGGAGCGCGTGGGGAGTAAGCCTCCCTCGGGGCGGGGACAGTAGCCCTGGGGGCGCCTTTCACCGCTTTGCTTTTCCTGCAAGCCGCGCCCGCGGTCCGCACAACTTCGCGGCCCCTCGGTCCGCGGTGCCGGCCGACCCGGCTGTGGGGGGGGTGGGAGCCGCGGCCCAGGACCCGCTCCCCGGGCCTGAGGCGTCCGATGCCGCCGCCTGCTCTGTCCTGGAGGGGCGCACTCCAGCCCCGGGACCGGCGTGTTCGACGTCAGAGCTGAGGGTCAGGAAGGGAGCCCCAGGGCCCTTGATAGGTGGTCAGGAGTGGGGACAAAACAGGCCCTCCCGCCCACTCTGCAGAATCTGCCGCAAACCTGCTTTGGCCCCAGGAATGCAGGCGGGTCCCCTGCCGGAGCTGGGGTCAGACCCAGTGGGGGGCAGGGTTCTGCTCTGCCCGCCGCCGAGAAGCAGGAGCAGCTCCAAGGCCCTGAGTGCCACCTGCCTTGAGATGCCAGCTCAGCTGCTCCTTCTGGGAAGCACGGTTCCTTTGCAGATGTGGGTGGACCTCAGCCCAGCACCCGCAGGGGCGTGGGGGGTGACCGGGTGAGTGGCAGATGGGAGCGTGCAGTGACCTCAGCATCTACCTGGAGCCTGGCAGTGGTCTCCAGGTGAGCAGCTTGCACCGCCCCCCGTGGGGGCTCCGGGCGGCCCTGTCACGCATGGCGCCTTCAGCTCTGGCTGGGACCAGTGGCAGGGCCTCTGATCCTGCTCACCTGTCCACCCCGACACCCCAATGGTGCCGTGCTGAGGGGTGGGGGCCCCGGGTTCACATCCGGGCTCCGTGTGAACTAAGACAAGTTACTTAAGCCCTCTGGGCCTCAGTTTCCCCACCTGTAAAACGGGAGTCACAGGTGTGTCCCCTTAGAGATGCCGGCCAAGCTGCCGCGGAGCTCTGGTGTGCTCGCCGCCCGGCCGATGCCCACGGCGCCAAGAAGACGAACTTCTTGGAGGGGGGGACCCAGGCACTGCCCAGGGCACGGGCTGGATGCAGAGAGCAGGGCTCCCCGAGTCCCGGTGCAGCAGGAAGTGGGGGCCCCAGGCTTCCTGGAAGAGATAAGGTCTTAAGCCACCTGGGGAATGAGTCCCCCTCCGCCCTCCCGTCCCCATCGTCTCGGGTTCCCGGGGGTCCTCTCCGACCCCACATGGAAGGCGCTCTTCAGGCGTGAGGGGACCGAGGCACAGGTGGAGTGGCTTCGGGTCCCCACGGTCCCCACGGTCCCCACGGTCCCCGCCCCTGAGGACAGCAGTTCGTGGGCGTGATCGGATGGCACACTGCTCAGGGCAGGGCCCGTCCCAGGATTTCAGTTTCGGTTTCTGGACGGATGTCAGCTGCTCGTCCCCCTAGCCCGTGGCAGCGACCTCCTGGCTCAGGTCACCGGCCGTCCGTAAGAGTGTCCTAGGGAGTGTCCCTACTCCCTGCCCGCCGGAGCCTGGTGCCTCGCCCAGCCCTGCTGACCGGCAGCCCGAGCCCCACACGTCACGTTCCCTCTGCTCCTGGTTCCCTCACCTGTCAGAGAGGGACGGTACCCACCTTCTGGAATTTCGGTGAGGGAATGAAGGCACAGTAGGTGGCAAGCGCGTGATGGGCACCTGCTCGTCACCTGTCCGGGCTCCCTGCGGGAGTCAGGGCTCCGATTTCCTGTCTGGGGAACACGGTGCGTGCCAGCCGAGCCCGGGGCGGGAGCTGCGTGTATGGGACGTCTGGGTTCAGAGATGCGGGCCGGAGCAGGCCAAGGTGGGCGCTGCAGGCGGAGCAGGTGGTGGTGTTGTCTGTGACAGTTGCTGGTGCCCGCAGGTGTCATGGGAAGGAGACAGCAGAGGCTTCTGCTCAGGGCAGGAGGGGCTGCCAGCGCCCACCAGGCCGTGTCCGAGGCTGGGCACAGCCAGGCCAGGTGGGTCTCCCCTGACCCCCACCATGAAGGCTGCCCCTTCAGTCAGCTAAGCTGGGGTGTCTCTGTCTCGGCACTGTGGACATTTGTTTCAGACGTGGCATTGTGCGGGACTGTCCTGTGCTCTGTAGGGTGGCAGCAGCATCCTTGGCCCCTGCCTCCATGAGGCCAGTAGCTCAGCCCAGTTGTGGCCACCAAGGGGGCTTCTGAACACGGCTGAATGTTCCCTGGGAGACAAACCTGCCTAGGTTGAGAGCCCCCGAACCTCCCCGCAACGTGGTGTACAAGCCCAATCCTGCAAATTCCGTGTGGCCCCGAGTGTCGAGCTCGGCCGGGCAGAATTATCTAAGACAAGGCCATCACTGTGGGTTGAGTTTGCCTCGGCAAAGACGTGGGTCGGGCCACTGGCTGGAGAGGCGAAGCTCCAGGCAAGGCAGAGGGGACAGAGGTGGCCCAAGGATGGAGGTCATGTGGCATCCTAATCTGAGGGCCAGCGGGTCCCGAACTCCCCATGATTAGGGTCCTGTTGGCTGTGACCAGAGCCCAGGCCAGGAATATTGTGCTTCTGCAAGGGAGTGGGGTCCTGGGAGGCCCGTCTGTCACAACGACTGGGGGAACCAGGGGTCTGGGCTGCATGGGGCCCCTGAGGCCAAGGGGAGGCGGTCCAGATACCTCCCCTGGCTCCGCCTGCTGACCGCCAGCCCGCCGCCCCTCACTCCCGAGCCCCAGGCCCCTTACCCGCACCCCCAAACGTGTGCCAGGGACATCAGGGTAGGCTGCGGAGTGGCACAGGGACAATCAGATGGTGTGGCTCCCAGGGCTCAAGCGTCGGCCCTCCCCAGCCCCCTAAGCGAGAGCAGCAGAAAGTCACCCAGAAGTCACCCGAAGGTGGCCCAGCCGCTCTGGGAGTCTCTGCGACGCAGTCCTGGGGTCCCTGCTGGCGTGAAGCAATGTATGCGTGCGGCCGGCTCTTGGTAACACACCAGGGCGTCCTGGGGTGGGCACTGTCCCCAGAGAGGGCGTCGGAGCAGAGCAACCTCCAGGTTACCTGTGCTCAGGTGTCGTCTGGGTGCTGAGCCCCACTGTGGGGACGTGAACTGGGAACTGTCTCTGCCCCCACAGAAGGACCCACAGAGTTGAGGGGGAGACGGATGACTGCACACAGCCCTCACTGCCCTGGCCTCTCTGGGGGAGCTTCTGGGGCCACCTTTGCCTGGAGCAGACGCGCCTCTGCGGCCCGGGTGGTCACTGCAGGGCGTCTGGCCTCTTTCAGCCACTGTCTCCTGGACGGCATGGCTGGCATCTGCCCCACGGGCGGCTGGGACAAGTCTGTGCTCTCGGCCCCTTCACCTTGCTGGCTCCAGGACACCGGGCGAGGGCCAGTGTCCAGCGGGGACACGAGCAAGGCTCTGTAGCCCACCAGCCGGAGGAGAGGCTACAGGTAGGGACACTGGGCAGGGGGTGGGTGCGGGGCAGTCCCAGAGAGCCCGCCAGGCAGAAGCCAGCGCTCACGTGCGTGTGTGTCCAGCACATGGGCCTCACGCCAGCACAGTGCCTGTCTCCCAACCAGAAGCAGACAGCCAACGGGTCCCCAGGGACTGAGGGACAGGTCCCTGGTGCCTGAGAGAGTGGCCGAGACAGGCGGAAAAGTGCGTGAGGAAGCGTCAGGCCAGCAAACAAGGGACCAAGCTCGAAGGACGACGTAGTGTCTTCGTGTGGACGGGAGACCGGGAAAGCGGCAGAGCGCGTTTGCTGGGAAGGTCGGAAGGTGACCTTGAGGGAAGACAGGACGAGAAGAGGTCTGACTCAGATGCTGCAGTGCTTTCGGGCCGGTCCCTGGGCTTCCCAGGAGACCGTCTGGGCCTCGCCGAGCGCACCGTGCGGGGCTCAGGCAGCGGGCGGGGCTCAGGCACCGGGCGGGGCTCAGGCACAGTGCGGGGCTCAGGCACCGGGCGCGCCTTCGTCCCGCAACCACCAGGGCCCCTCGGCAGCGGGTGACACCACTCCGGTCGTCATCCGGGGAGGCAGATGGGACCGGCGTCGGGCGCCTCGCCACAGCCGAAGCTCGAAGACCAGGGACGAAGGCTTCTCCCTCTGGAAGAAAATAACCTCCGAGGGACTCTGAACCCAGCCGCGCCACCAGCCCGGGGCCGGGAGGAAGAAGCACTTCAGCCGGGGTCTCCTCCTGGTCGTGGCCCCTGGAGGAGCAGGGACACGCGGACTGCAGAGGGAGGACGGGAAGCAGGGAAGGGACACCGGGGAGGTGGGGACAGGGTATCTGGGGACATGGGGCTGACGCGCTGGCCGCATGGAGCGGGGACACTGGACTGTGTGCAGGAGGAAAGCCACGGGTAAACAGGAGGGAATCATTAACCAAGAGGGGCCCGGGCCGGCACCGACACCCTCGGGCACCGCGTGGGAGGCCGGGGCCCCCTCCCACGGCGGGAAGAGGGCGGGTGACACCTGCAGTCTGCCGCCCCTCGCTGAGAAGCCAGGGAGAAGCACAACCCGGAGCGGGGGCCGGGGGCGGGCAGGATGCTGGAGGAGGGGACGCCTGTCTCTGAGAGAAGCCCGTGGTGCTGTTCGAAGTTTGAACCCGTTTCCGGGTATTTCTGTGACGAAGGAGGCAACAGACGGGACAGAGACGTGATGGCGGCTCCGGCAGACGGGGCGCCCGCTCGCCCTCAGACCCCGATCCCGGCTGGTGGCTCCCGGCCTGCGGGTGTGGCCTCCCTCCTCGCTGGGCACGGAGGTCACACCCGGCAATGGCTCGCCTGACTGGTTCCATCCAGGCACTTCCTGCCCTGAGCAGACTTTGCCCTCCCTTGGGAGAGGCCGAGCTGCTTGCCGGGTCTGGCCTGGGCTCAGAGGAAGGGGTCGGGAGGAGCCAGGCCTGGGGGAGAGGAAGGAGGAGGGACGCGGGGCCTGGCGGCGGCTGCATCCACGCACTCGGGCACAGTGTGGCGTCGGCCCTTCTGTGCTGCTGCTCTGGGTACCAACGTGGATGCCTCGGGTCGGAGTGCGAGGGCTCACGGGTCGGAAGTGTCTGGCTGCCCACATGGCCACATTTTATTCGGCATGCTTACAGATGGAAGTCTGAACCCCGATTCTCAGCCCCCTGGGCAAAGACAGACACGTAAACACGGGGTGGGGCTCTGGGGTGGCACGGACGTGCCCAGCCCGGGGGAGGCCGCGGCCATCCTCTGCCGGGTGACTCAGAATGTCCCCAGGAATGCGTGGGCGGTCCTCCCAGCGTGCGGGCGGCCGGGCTCTGCCAGGAGCTCCTCCCTGGGGCCCAGGAAGCACAGCCCGGACGCTTTCCTGGGGTGGTTCAGCACAGAGCCCGCTCTGGGGGAGCTGAGTGGCCGGGCTCCGTGTGCCCCGCAGATGGTCCGACTGTGCGGTGACTCTGGCCAGCGCATGTGGCCGGCCCTGCCCTAGGGGGGCCCTCCTGGGCGGAAGCTGGAATCTCCCAGGGGAGCGCCCAGGCTCACCATTGGGCGAGTGCGTGAGGTGGGCTTGAGCTGGGCCCCACCTGGTGGGAACTGGTGGCCGAGTGACCGATTCCAACCCAGGTCTGTAGGGCCCCAGGCACCCCCACTGCCTATGCTTACACCCCAGCTCAGGAACGTGTCCTCAGTGTGTGCAGCACACCAGAGGACGCACGTGACCGCCCAGGGCCAGCCTCGACTGCAGGCTGCGCCCCCTGGGCTCGGAGACCAGCGGCCTGTCCCTGCCCAGGTCCCCACAGGCCTGAGGCTGTGCTGACCCACTGCACGCCCAGTCCGGCGGCAGTCCAACCTCCCTGGGGAGCGTGCCCGTGCCAGGCCAGCTCTGCTGCAGGCTGCACAGCCCACCGGCCTTCGAGGGCTGGCCCCTGAGCGCAGGCTCTGGCCGGGGTGACAGGCCAAGGTGCCAGAGGGCTGCGGGTGGCCGTCAGCGTGCTGCCCTCACCTTCACCCTGTTCCCCCAGGACCCCGTGGCCGCCCGGCATGGCCCATCGGCACTCGGACAGCTCCCTGGAGGAAAAGCTGCTAGAATGCCGCGTCCACTCGGAGCTGCGGCTGGACACCAACGGGAACCCCGTCTCCGGGCTCCCGACGGTCCGGGGGTCCCTGCGGGTCAGGGACAATGCCGCCTTCCAGCACGACGTCCCGGGGCCCACACCCCTGACCCCCGAGGGCAGGGCGCCGCGGGCCATCATCCTGAGCACACAGAGCCCTGCAGCCCTCAAGATGGGCACTGAGCAGCTGATCCCCAGGAGCCTGGCCGTGTCCAGCAGGGCCAAGGCCCCGGCCCGCCACCAGAGCTTCGGGGCGGCCATGCTCAGCAAGGAGGCCGCCCGGCGGGACCCGCAGCTCTTCGTGGCCCCCAGCTTCTCCCTGGACGACATGGACGTGGACACGGGCCCCGGGGGCATGCTGACACGGAAGCTGCGCAACCAGTCCTACCGTGCGGCCATGAGGGGCCTGGGGACCCCGGGCGGCGAGCTGGGGCCCGTCCACCTCAGCCCCAAGCTCCAGGCCCTGGCCGAGGAGTCCAGCCAGCCTCCTGCTCGCCATGCGGCCAAAAACAAGGTAGGGGGCTATGCGCCTGGACAGCCAGAGGGGACGGGCCTTGAGGGGCCGTCTCCGTCCAGCAGCTGCCATTCCGTGAGCGCCCCCGTGCGCAGGCTCCTGGCAGTGTATTTAAGTCCTAGAGCAGGTTGTGAGCGGAGTGTGACTGTCCCCATTTTACATCCGAGGCCACTGAGGCTCAGAAAAGACCACGGTTTTACCCAGGACCTCGGCCTCCGGGCCCCCACTCTCAGCCACGGTGTGGGGTAGAGCCTGGGGTGACCGGCCCTGAGAAGGAGCCAGCCCGTCTGAGGGACAGGTTGCGATGGTGGCTTTGCAGCGGCACCCGGCTGGAACTCAGTGTTCAAGGGGCTTCGGGAGGGGGCAGTGGGACCCTAGCTGCTTGTAGGGGGCGTCTGAGGCTCCCTGCATGCACCCCTAGAGAGGACAACAGGCACAGGGCCAGTGGGAGGGGCGCTCGCCCAGGACCCTCTGCCTGTGGCTGCCATCCTGACAGCCTGCTGCTCAGGGCTCCCGCCCAGACTGCGGGCTGCAGCCACGGCCTGGACCCGTCGGCATGCTGGCAACCCAGCGTGCAGAGGGCGGGCCGGGCAGGACCCTAGCCACGGTCCGTCCCTGGCCTGGAAGGTGGAGCCCTGCCCCTGCCATGCCCACCCACGATGCCCCGACCCCAGAACCTGCCTGGGGACTCGGCACGGTGCACTCCCAGGCCTAGGCCCGTTTGTTCACGCACTGCTGACTCGGACATTCAGCGGATGTTGCCTGAGGCTCACGCACCTGTGCTGGGGCACGAAGTGACCCCGTGGGCCGGCCCCAGGAGCGCGCCCAGGGCACTGGGGGTGCCGAGGGCTGGGCTGGGGTGCTCGGGGGGGAGCAGAGGAAGGCCTTCCAGGCACGCAGGGCCAGGTGGGGGCTGCAGAGGAACGAGGGCTAAAGCAGAGG